GAGGGACACTCCCAGGCTTACTCTACAAGGCCACCATCAATCACCCTGATACCCAAACCAAACAAAGATATCACAAAAAAAGAAAATTACGGGCCAATATCACCAAGAAACACAGATGCAAAAATCCTCCACAAAATATTAGCAAACCACCAATGCACCATGATCAAGTGGAATTTATCCCAGAGATGCAAGAATTCTTCAATACATGCAAATCAGTTAAGTGATACACCATAATAACAGACTGAAAAATAAAAACCATATGACCATCTCAATAGATGCAGAAAAAGCTTTTTACAAAATTCAACACACGTTTATGATAAAAACTCTCCAGAAAGAGGGCATAAAGGGAACCTACCTACCTTAAAGGCCATATAAGACAAACCCACAGCAACCATCGTTCTCAGTGGGGAAAAGCTGAAAGCGTTACTTAAGATCAGAAACAAGACAAGGGTATCCACTCTCATCACTCTTATTCAACATAGTTTTGGAAGTCCTACCATGGCAATCAGAGAAGAAAAAGTAATCTTAAAAAGGAACCCAACTGGAAAAGAAGTAGTAAAACTGTCACTGTTTGCAGATGGCACGATACTATACATAGAGAATCCTAAAGATGCCACCAGAAAACTACTAGAGCTAATCAATCAATTTGGTAACGTTGCAGGATAAAAAATTAATACACAGAAATCTCTTGCATCCCTACACACTAACAAGATCAGAAAGAGAAATTAAGGCGACAACCCCATTTACCATTGCAACAAAAAGAATAAAAGACCTAGGAATAAACCTACCTAAGGAGGCAAAAGACTACTTAGAAAACTTAAGACGCTGATGAAAGAAGTCAAAGATGACACAAATGGAGAGATATACCATGTTATTGGATTGGAAGACTCAATATTATGAAAAAGACTCTTCTACCCAAAGCAATCTATAGATTCAATGCAATCCCTATTAAATGACCTGTGGCATTTTCCACAGAATAAGAACAAAATTTTTTACAATTTGTATAGAAACAAAAGAGATCCCAAATGGCCAAAACGATCTGGAGAAAGAAAAATGGAGCTAGAGGAATGAGGCTCCCTAACTTCAGACCTTACTATAAAGCTACAGTAATCAAGGCAGCATGATACTGGAACAAAAGCAGAATTATAGATCAGTGGAGCAGGATAGAAAGCTCAGAGGTAAACCCATACTCCTGTGGTCACCTAGTCTGTGACATCGGGGGCAAGGAAATACAAGGGGTAAAAGACAGTCTTTCAAATATGTGATGCTGGGGAAACTGGACAGCTTCATGTTAAAGAATGTGTTAGAACACTCCCTAACACCATACACAAAAATAAACTCAAAATGGATTAAAGACCTAAATATAATGCTGGACACTATTAGAGGGAAACATAGGCAGGGCACTCTTCGGCACTCTTTGACATAAATCATAGCAAGATCTTTTTTTGACCCACCTCCTAGAATAATGTAAATGAAAATAAAAATAAACAAATGGGACCTAATTAAACTTAAAAGCTTTTGCACAGCAAAGGAAATCATAAACAAGATTAAAAGACCACCTTCAGAATGGGGGGAAATGTTTGCAAATAAAGCAGCTGATAAGGGATTTATCTTCAAAATATACAAACAGTTTATGTAGCTAAGTATTAAAAAACCAAACAGCCCAATAGAAAAAAATAGGCTGAAGACCTAAATAGACATTTCTCCAAAGAAGATGTTAAGATGGCCAACAAACACATGAAAAGATGCTCAGCATCACTAATTATTAGAGAAATGAATGACAGTCAAATCAAATGAATGCCAATGAGGTATCACCTCATACTGGTCAGAATAACCATCATCTGAAAATCTACGGGAATTTCCCTGGTGGTCCAGTGGCTAAGACTCCTTGCTCCCAGTGCAGGGGACCTGGGTTTGATCCCTCGTCAGGGAACTAGATCCTGCTTGCTGCAACTAAGACCCAGTACAGCTGAATAATGAAATATTTTTTAAAAAAATCTACATGCAGTAGATGCTGGAGAGGTTGTGGAGAAAAGGAAATTCTCCAACACTGTTGTTGGGAATGTAAGTTGGTATAGCCACCATGGAGGACATTATGTGCTCGGTCGTGTTCAACTCTTTGTGGCCCCATGGACTGTAGCCCACCAGGTGCTTCTGTCTGTGGAATTTTCCAGGCAAGAATTCTGGAGCAGGTTGCCATTTCCTGCTTCAGGAGATAGTCCTGACCCAGGGATTGAACCCATGTCTCTTGCTTCTTCTGCGTTGGCAGATGGATTCATTACCACTAGCGCCACTTGGGAAACCCATGGAGAACAGTATGGAGTTACATTAAAATACTAAAAATAGAACTACCATATGACTCAGCAATCCCATTCTTGGGCATATACCCAGAGGAAGCTATACTTGAAAAAGATACATGCACCCCAGTGTTCATTGCAGCACTATTAACAATAGCCAGGACATGAAAACAACCCAAATGTCCATCAGCAGAGGTATAGATGAAGATGTCATACATGTATACAGTGGAATATTGCTCAGCCATAAAAAGGAGCGAAATTGTGTCATTTGCAGAGACATGAATGGATCTAGATACTTATGCAGAGTGAAATAAGTCAGAAAGAAAAACAAATATGTAATATTGCTTGTATGTGAATCTAGAAAAATGGTACAGATGAACTTATTTGTAAAGCAGAAATAGAGACACAGTTGTAGAGAACAAACATATGGATACCAATGCAGGGAAGGGAGGGTGAGATGAATTGGGTGATTGGGATTGATAAATATACACTACTATGCAGAAGGTAGATAACTAATGAGAACCTACTGTATAGCACAGGGAACTATACTCAGTGCTCTGTGTGATGACCTAAACGGGAAGGAAAATAAAAAAATAGGGGATATATGTATACATGTAACTGATTCACTTGCTAACTAACACAACATTGTAAAGCAACTATACTCCAATAAAAATTAATTTAAAAATACAAATAAAAAACTTTGTATACTATTGCCCAAAAATAAATAAATAAAGCTGAGCCAGAAGAATAATTGGTTAAAGGCATAGAGTGAAATTGCAGTTCAAAATTTGCTGATCATGTGGGTCATAGAGATCTCACTGAATAAAGTTCCTTTTTTTTTTCTGCTTTGTGGAAATTATTTATTTTCTCTACTCTGCAGTCCTGCTTCCTTATTTAATTGTTCATGATGTTAGAGTCACTACTTTGTTTCAAACAGTAATAAAGCGAAAATTTATAAGAAATTAAAATCTAAAAAAATGATGTAAAAACGCCAGAAAGACACAAAAGTGAGTTTGAAGGAGCAAAGGATTTCCACTGGTCATATCTGGGACAATCTGAGCATCAGAACAAATGATACCAAAGGATTATAACCCACTGAATAAAACAGGGACCTTGTGTGCATACTAATATAAATAAGTAAATGGATAAATTAAAAGGGGAATGTGTTATTTACACAAAGTATTGCTTCACAAAGTGCTTACTCAACACAGAGGGAGAATGAGTGATCTTACAGTAGAGACATCAGATGAATTAATCAAATGATTAAAGTGAGCCTCAGCAGAAATGGGATGAATTGAAATCTGAATCAGTAGAAAACATCAGACAAGTGAGCATTATTGTACAAAGCGATTGGTTTCACTGTCAAGTTCTTACAAATGTAGGAACTGTTCTGACTGATGGAAACTAGAGTCGCAGCAAGTGAAGGCAGCACTTGTTTCTGAACTGGATTATTTTGCTACCAAAGACATTATTGGCACAATTGGCAACATTTGGTAGGATCTGAGGATTAGATGATAATGTTGTTTCAGTGTTAATTTCCTGATTGTGGTTATGTAGGAGAATATCCTTGGTGTTTATGGATGACAGGGCATAATATTGGTAATCCACCCTCAAATAGAAAATAAAGGTTTTCTTTTTTTTCATAGTGTCCTAAAATTCTTCTGTTAAGTTTGAGATTGTTTCAAAACAAAATTAAACTTGTGTGTCTGCACATGTTCATTCCTACCCTCTGAGAAATTTGAGTAATTTATGAATTCAGATTGAAAACATGATTTTAATCTGGGCTTATCCTCTTTTTCCTCTCCTTTAAATTCACTAATAAAGACAGCTGTGAACAGCAGCAAGGGCTCTGGGTTTGAACACAGAAAACCTGTTGTTAGCTTCTGGCTGTGCAGTTCCCAGCTGGCTGATGTGAGCCAAGTTGCTTTACCCTTTGGAGCCTTAGTTTTCAGTCTGTAAAGTGAGGTAGTTGTGAGGCTGAAAGCAGCTACCAAATGGGTACAAATGTAGGTTTATTACTATTTCATCAGCGTGGGGATTTCCGCAGGGTGGGAGAAATAGCTTTGGGATGATTCTGTAAGCAATGTTCTTTTGCGCATTTTAAAGGTGAATCTGTTTTCAGTCGAATAATTTGTACTGCTTTATGTTTCATCCTGTGGCTCGATTTCACTAATTAAAATGCACAGCCACCATCCTCTATTGCATGCTGTTGTAGTAGTTCATTTTTAACTTTCCATAATTGGAGGCTGCTGTGTGTATCTGGTGAACACTCAATAAAATTAATTGAGGGTAATGATGATAAAGACAAGATCTATAGTGTCATCGTTATTTCTCCCTACCACCCCCGCCCTGTAAGCTGGGATTGTTTGCATTTAAAAGTTGTTGCTATGGAGTTGAGAGGATAGATTTGCTGAGAGCTTATGGTATATGATCCATAAAAGGCGGTCATGGTAGGTGTCTCACTGAGTAGAAAATGTCAAACTTCGTGTGGGAGGATCTATTTGGTTCTTTTATTGAGCCATAAGCACTGTCTTTTGTCCAACTCTACTTGAATATCAAACCTATTTCTGTTGTGGGGCCAGCACCTCCCCAGCCCCCTCAGTCATGAGGGCCCATAGTTCAGTGTGTGCCCAGACCTCCCTGCAGGTCTCTGACTAAGGGCTCAGTCTTGCCTTTGTTACTTAAGCCTTTTATTTCTTTCAGGAGAGTCAGTGGAATGAGCTTCTCGAAACTCTGTACAAACTTCCTATCCCTGACCCAGGAGTGTCTGTTCATCTCAGCGTGGTAAGTGGGGGCAGAATATTAGCAATCTCTGAGAAACCATTCCATTATTAACAATAAGAAAGAGTCAAATGAGATTGTCCTTTTGTCATATGTATCTTCCCCACCCCCCAAATACTCTGAGATCTCAAAACAGGCCAGGGAGTTGTATTTCTTTCTTTCTCTAGGATTTCATGAGAGAGGGTTCCCAAATGTCCCCATGCTCCTCTCTTCCTGGCTGTCACTCCATCACTAGCATCTCCTGGATGACAGGTGCTGGGCTTGGAATGGGACAGCTGACCCTTGCCTCCTCAACTCCTGTCCTGGGGCTCCCTGCCTCATGCTTCGCCCCCTCCACCGTGCCCCCACATAACACTGCTGTGTCTGTGCCTTTGCTGAAGCGCATCCTGCTTCCCCAAACCTTCAATACCACCTTTCCCCTGTTTAACCCAGGGTAACCCATACTCATCCTTCAGAACTCAACTCAAATTTTTATTTCAGCGAAATCCTCCCCTCACACCCCCGAAAGCTTAGGTAAGATTTCTTTTTTTGTCCCAAGCATCTTGTACACTTTGCAGTACTTAGTCACAACACTTTGGAACAACCTGTTTTCCTGTCTCCCCCACTGGACTGAACGCCCACTCTTGAGGATGTGAATGGAGACTGCCGAGCACAATTCCTGGCCAGATTATTTCCTTGAAGTCTCTTATACACGTGCTATGTGGTCTGGGTAGAAAAGCCTCTGGATTATAAATTGGGAGATTTCAACCCCCAAGTCATAGTTTTGTCAATGACCTGAGTGATCTTAATCAAAACCTTTAACCTCATGGACCTCAATTTCCTCATCTATCAGATAAGGTGTCAGTTAAGAAGGTGTTTTTTCTTTCTTTCTTTTTTTTTTTTTGCATATTTTAGTTACTGCAATTCTCTGGGTCAAATGCTAGTCACGACTTTCTTCAGAATTCTCAGATGGACACTCTGGCCAGCTATTGATCATCCAGGGGCTATTTTCCCCAATGTTGTGGGATCTGAATGTTTAAAAAGTTTTGTCTTTCAGCTTCACTAGAAGCAGGTACAGTGTTGATAGTCAGTGGTAATTATCTCAGTATTTGCCCTCTTAAAGAAAATGAACATGGAAAGGTTTTTTATGATGATCACATTGAAAGCAGTATTACTGCCAATAACTAATAATACATCTACTATATACCAAGTTCATAATTTATGCCAAGTATGTATCTCTAATGTTTAAAACAACTCTGAAAATAGATATTGGCCTTCTTATTTCATCGTTAAGACTTAGAGAGGAAAAGATACTTGCCCATCCAAGGTTGTATGGTTAATCAGTGAGATTGGGGCTTTTAAATCCAAGCCTATTTTTTTTCCACTAGGCCATGAATGTTGAAAGAAAGGAAGGAAAGAAGGAACTGGTAGAGGCTTTTGCTCATTGTAATGGAGCAGAGGAGGGAAAGAAGTCTTTTCCAAGAAATATTGTGTAAGGAAGAATATCTGAAAAAGCTGAAGAAATGAACTTTAAACCTGCCCCACTCCTTGCTGCATAGCTAAGCAACCTTGCCTTTGTCTCTGTCCGTTTTCCTAAGCAGCTTGATCTCACTACTTCAGTCTGTAATGACATCTGACAGGTAGCTGGGGAGTAGCCGGGCTGGGTCACCAGCTGCTGGGGAGGAAGGGCCTCTCCTTCCCCTGAGAGGCTGCCAGGCCTCAAGGACAAGCCATTGCCAGGGCAGGAAGAACTGTTGGAAGGTGCAGCTGTTTCATGCCAGTGGTTTCTAGGAATGTTTCTGACCTCCTCTGGTCCCAGCATTTCATGGGCGATGGAGCAAGACAGAATCTCAAAGGACAGCCTGGGGACTACTTGGTTTTGGGATTGCCTGGGCTCACTATTTACAATCTGTTGCATTTGTAAAGGCAGATATTTTCTTTTTCCTGTTCATAAGGAATTCCTCTTTATGTGTTTCATTTCTTAAGAGTTAGTCTCATCTAGATTATAAAGCCTGAAAAGATGATAAGATGACAGTCTTGGACTTTTTGTCTTTAGTCACAAGAGAGAGTTTCTGTGTGTCTGCTCTAGGTGATTGAGAAAAATTGGAATATAAACTAACAATTGAGAATGGTGATAATAATTTTCTATTAAAATACCATTGATGGAATGCTAGATATGTCACATATAAAACATTTATTCTTCACAACAGTTGTTCTGAACAGATCCCATTTACAGGTTAAAAAAAAAAAAAGCTTCTGAGCTATTAAGTGGAATTGCCTATGATCACATAACTATTAAGTGGCTGACTCTGCAGTTCCAGTCCTTTCTCCCTCACTGTGCTAATCCTTATTCAGTGACTTCATCACCATGTGGACTGCCATTACTGAACGTTTCCTGGGACTGCCTTCTAGCCATTTGGTATAAAATTTGGTATCTCATGGCATCGAATTTAACCTTGTATTTTACTTTTACTATTTTAATCTTTGTTCTTGAGTTGACTTAATTAATTTCCCATAGTGAATATGCTACATGATCTCTACTGTAATACTTTTATTATTATTATTTTTTTAATTGAGGGATAATTTCTTTATTGTGTTGGTTTTTACCAAATATCAACATGAATCAGACATAGGTTTACCTATGTCCCCTCTATTGTAATCCTTAATTTATAATGTTTTGACCCAAAGACACAGATTTTGGAATAATGCACTACAAAGGGTGTTTTCTTAAGTTATCTTTTAATATTTGTTGCTTTTTACTTTTTAGTTTATTGAATTCAAATAGCTTTAGCTATAATTTGCTCATGAAAAGCACAGGTATAACAATCATTATCATGGAAAGAACATAGCTCTAGTTATGCAAACCTGGTTTCAGTCCTAGTTCTGTCCCCAACTAGCTGTATGACCTTAAGTCACTTTACTTCTCTAAGCCTTAATTTACCCATTTGTAATATGGAGATAATTCCTCAACTTTTCCTATGGAAATTAGAGATACTGTTTATAAAGTAACTGGTGGTATTTTATACATAGAAGGTAAAGCCTTCTGTGTAGCAGATGTTCGTAAATATCTGCCGAATATTAGAAAAATAGCTTATAATGTTATTGTTGGCCTTTTTGTTATTGGAAGCCTTTCATTTTAGGAAGCCTGTGCAACTCATTTTTCCAGAGACTTACTTATTTTGTAGTTATCCGAGAATGGGGGGTGGGAACTTCCTGAAATGTCACTTGGGGGTCTAGGTTTGAACTTAGGCCATGGCTAAACTGACATTCTCTGTATGTGACCTTTCCTGGCCTTTGCACAATCCCTTCTTTAATTGGCCAGCACCAAGCTCTTTCCATTCCTGCTTGCCATTGTTCTCTGAGTCTTTAGTAGCACAGAGGAGGTGTCATCAGTTCATCCTATTTTCATTTAACTCAGAGACACATGCTTGTTACATGCATGGAGATGTCTCCTTAGAAGTTCTCTGAACAGGTCAGGGTTTCAACTCCACTGATTCAGCTGCCTTCACTGGAATTTGCGCTGGAAGTCAGGAGGCTTACTTGGAGAGCACGCATAGTTGAGAGACATTCTCCACTGTTAGCCCTCTAGTGTCTCAGTGCAGCAGTCCCTCCGCTGGAGCTGTCCTTAGCATCCCTTGGGCCTTTGGGACAGATTTGGCCCACAGTTTATAGATGAGTATAATCTCAGATGCTGAAATTAAATTGCAGGTTTGGTTGGTAAAGACCATTCATGAGTAAACCTAGTGATATTTGGTCCCTAGAGCCCACATGCCTCAATGAACAATAAGTTATGAAGTCTGCAACTTTCATGTGTTCAGTAGCCTGAAAATGTCATATGAGAAATTAGCCTTTAACTTCTTTGAACTGTTCTTTTGTATTTCCCAAAAATGTTCCTCTCCCATGGAAAAGAACTCCGTCTACCAAACAGTGATTTAATGTATCTGGCTTTAATCCAGTATTATCCAAAGAAAATATTCCTTAGACTATTCTCTATGAGTGAAATGCTTGTTTCTTTAGTTGAGTGAGGAATTATCTTCATATCATTTACCTGGTTTCTGAATAATGTGCTTGTTGCATACTTTTGCAAGAATAAATACCTTTTGTTTTTCTTTCCAGCATTCTTATTTTACTGTGCCTGATACCAGAGAACTTCCCAGCATCCCTGAGAATGTAAGTATTTGGACAGATGTGAATTAAATTTTTATTCTTCATTTTTTACTAATTTTCAAGGAAAGTAAAGGGATATATTTTCCTACTATAAAAATAATACATTATAAAAGCAAAACCATATAGAGAATATTTGAAAAATATAGAAGTATGAAGACAAGGAATAATCATTATTCATACTTTGCAAAGTACTCACCTATTAACATATTGGTATCTCATTGTAGTCTTTTTAGAATGTATTATTTACATAGTTAGAATTACCTCTTATATAAGCATTTTGCCATTTCATTCATAATCATTTTTTTGACTGCATAATATTCAATTTGCTGTGTCATTTACTTAGCTATTTCCTTGCTGTTGTGAATTGAGTTGGTTTTACTTTTTCTTGTAAATAAAATGCTTTTATATAAAGAACTTCTCGTATGAAGATTTCTTTATTAGGGTACATATACTGAAGTAGAATTGTGCTCCTACTACATTTTTTTATTCACTTTTAAGAAAGTAAAGGATTTTTGGATAAAAGTGTGAGGACCCCCACCCCCGTCTCTTAAAAACTTAGCAGTGAACTTGAGCCTGAGACAGCAGAGGGTAATATCTGCCCCCTGAACAAGCTGAATCACATATCTAGTCTAGTCTTAAGACATATTTCAAAATATTTTACTTGAACTGTACATAGTACTATGTAGAGTTAAATACAGAACCACCACCACGAAGGCACTTGATTACTTTTTTAAGTTGTGGCAAAATATACATAACATAAAATTTACTGTTTTAATCCTTTTTTAATCCTCTTTTAAATGTATAATTTCATTGGTGAACACATTTACATTATTGTGCAAGTGTCACCAACATCTATATCCAGAATTTTTTCATCTTTCCCAGCTGAAGCCAACTCTTTAAACAACTCATTTCCCTTCTCCTTCCATCACCTGGCAACCACTATTCTGACTGTATGAATTTGACTACTCTAGACACCTCATTTAAGGAGAATCATATAATGTTTGTCCTTTTGTGTTTGGTTTATTTCACTTAGCATAATGCATTTGTGGCTCATCCATGCTGTAGCGTGTCAGAATTTCCTTCTTTTTTAAGGCTGAATAATATTTCAAGAAGTGGTAGAATTAGATTCAAACATTAATCTTTTTGATACTAGAAAATGAATTCTCATATACTTTGCTACGCTTTGAGCCCATAATTTAACCTTTTATCTCCCTCAAAATTTCATTGAAATGACAGAAGAACTATAAAATTAAGGAGAAAAATGTCCACTTAATGGCAGAAGAAGCCACCAGGAACTAGAAAATTTTAAGAATTTCTGCAATTTAAAGGAGATGATTATTGAGCAGTCAGTAAGGTATAGACAGTGAAGAAACCCCCCTAAACTGGAAAAGCGTCATAGAAAGAGCAGAAACCAGGGATGTGATCTTGAACATTTATAAAACTTAATTATGTGCTAGATTGCACTGACAAATTCAAAATAGGAAAACTCAGATTTTCATAGGCCACTCTCTTTTATTACAATGAAATAAAACTAGAAATTAAATATTCACCTACTTGAAGGAATGGTTGGGTCACAGAGGAGAAGACATTGAAATTGGCTATTATTTAGATATTAATGATCATATCAAAATCTTTCCTTTTGGACCAGTCAGTTTTCTCTTGCCAGTAGTGTAAGCTTTATTACTGGTGTTCTGGAAGCTGAGTGGGGTGGTAGCTTATAGGATATGAACATTTAGCATGTATACTTTAAGCACCCCTCCTATTTTTGTTTAATTATTTATCCCCTGTCCTCAGCTATACCTAGTGTCCCCAAGTCTTTCTGGTTACCAGAAAGTAAACATTTATTTCTCAGGAAGGGTGCCAAAAGGCTAGTTGACTAGCTGAGTGAGCTGGGAGAGGAGAGTCTTGGGATTGAATACTCTTATTTTTATTGGCACCCTTCCCTTAGCCTTTAGAGGTGCTGGATGTCTCCAATTCCTGAACTTTTCTGGAGTTCTGTGATGTGAGTTGGGCTGGATGCTTGCTGCCCTCTTCCTTGGTCCCAGCCTTTTCTGGGCTGCCAACTCAGTCTTCTCTAGTTTCTCAACCTTGATTGATACTCTTGATACCCTGGACCAGATCATTCTTTGTTGTTTAGGGTTGTCTTGTATGTTGCAGGGTGTTCAACAGCATCCCTGGGCTCTGTCCACTGTAAGATGGTACCACCATCCCAGCTGTGACAACTAAGAATGTCTCTAGACATTGCTAAAAGTTCACTGGGGGTGAATGACCCAGGTTGAGAACCATTTCTTTAGTAACATCTGGCTTCCAAAAAATTTGACATCTCACTTCCATTACTCTCTTTTCTCCTGTTCTTTGAGGTTTATGCCTTTCAAAATTATATCTTTGTGACTTTTCCTGGCTGAGGGCTGAGAGTTGCATGGTATCAGGAGATAGAAAAGCAAATACATGTGTTAAATCCATGGAAATGCCCACATGTTTTAACTATGCTTCACCTATTAACAGACATTTAGATTGTTTCTAATGTTCTGCTATTATAAATAATGTTATAGTAACAGTCATTGCCTAAGTTAAATTCATCTTTTAATTTTTTAATTTTAAGGACTGAGAATTCCTTAAGAACTGTAAGGTACCTGAAAGTCCTGATAATTTCTCAATTTTCAAAACCACAATTGCTGAGATTAGAAATAATGTAGGAAAAACAACTTCATCTTCTTCTTAGCCCCACCTCCAATTCCTTTCTGCACTGCACTATATGCCACCTCCCCTGCCCCCACCATTTAAAAAAAAAAAAAATTTGCATTCCCTCTGCTGATTTTGCCACTAATGAACCAATTCCCTGCGTATGACCCATTGTCCTCTAAATCCTCCTTTGCAAACCAGTAAAAGACTGGCCTTGTTTGTTTCTAAGCAGGAATAATAAAAACAATCTGCCAGCCTCCTAACATACATGGTTCCATTTAAATCCTTACAGCTACTCTGTGAGAGGTAGACGTGAGCCTCATTTTACATGTGGGGACCCAGAGCTCACAGGCCTGAGGTTAGAGCCCAAGGTCTGCTTCCAAATGGGGTGTAGTGACCCAGGTTTGTAAGGAACCAAAGCATTTTGTTTCCATTACACCCCCATGCCTCCGTATAGTTGACTTTTGATATTTATGAGGAAAAAGGAAAAGAAATGATTTTTCCTATTTCAAGTATGAAATGAAGCAGGAAAGCTTTTCCTCTAAGGAGAATCTGAACTTTTGTAGGACCAATTTGTGTGATTTTTGACATAGACTTACTGTTGAGCTCTAGCCATGTTGAAATTTGCATTTTACTCTCTTGGTGATTTTTCAAGGATTAATTTAAAATGACTAAATTGCTGCATTGCAAATTGAAACAAGCAATAACGAAGGAATTGTTAATATGATGTAGCCTGCTAGTGGAAAGAACATGAGTTTTGGAGACAGCCAGACACTGGGCTCTACCACTCTGGGGACCTTGAGATACTTATATTCTCTAGGCTCCTCATCTAATAAAGGAAAATGGGAGGAACAAATGAAGTATTACATGTAAAGTTCCCAGTTCAGTGCCTGGTGCAACAGAGATACTGCTTTTGATGATCCTTTCTTTCCCTTCATCCTTTGGCTCTCCTCTAATTCTAGCCTTAACCTCTCAAGTTGCGGTGGAGGGCTAGGGTGCATTACTTCTTGGAGCTTGTCTTTTCTTGGTTTTTGCTGACATTCCTGGCTGTGAAGATCAACACTTCTCATGGAGTGTATGTTTGGCTATGAAAGCCTCTTAGCAGCCACCGTTGACTGGAAATGGTAAAAGGAATGGAGTCCAGGGCTCTCGTGCCTGTCATGTGGAAGGTGTTATATATACTATATGATTATCTCCTCTTAGGAACATACTGAACTAAGAGAACAAGTGAAGAAAAGGGCAAAAGGTTTAGGGTATGAAACTTGATTCTGTCACTAGATAATGATATTCTTTGGATGATTTCAGGGCAGGGTTAACATGAGAGACAGAGGAGGTAGTACTGGTTGAACACCCACCATGGATCAGATGAGGTACTATTAATGTTTGTTATATCATGACATCTTCACAGCCACCTTACAGTGTGGTTGTTATCCCTACGCTGAAGAGGAAATGAAGCCCAGAGATGTAAAGTAACTTGCCCCTAGCCCCCCAGCCAGTCACATTTGGGTCAGTCTGATTTTAGCACCGAGGGCTGCTGGGTCCTGGTCCTCCACTCCACGGCTCCCAGTACCTTCCTAAGAAATCACTCATCCTAAGTGTAAATTATATAATTAATTGTGTGACTATGTGTTTAATTTCTCCTTCCATATGGACAGGGGTCAGTATTTTTTCAGCACTGAATCTCCATAATTAACACTGTACCTAGAACAGAGTAGATATTCAGTGTACATTTATGAAATGATAGAATGAATGAATGAGCAATGCAGTCACTCTCTGGAGAAGGAAAAATAACAGTTCCTTTCACTTGGCTTTTGGGCCAGTGAGTCTGCAAGATGTTAATGAAAAGCAAATGTAGAAAATTAATTCTTTCCATTTTCAGATGCCTGTTGAAGTTAATTCTCATTATTTCTTCAGTTTCTGTGTAAAAATATTTTCTTCCTTTTCACTGAAAAACTATCACTATGTAATTGCTCTTCAGGGTTTTTTCTGTCTATCAAGATAACACATGTAGGAGTGAATTTTATACAGGCAGTAATTAAATGAGCATAAATTTTTATAAATTTCAAACTGTTGACCTGCATTTTTAAAAAAAGTCACAGATCATGAACAGATATGTAATAATAATTACATTGTAAACTGGTTGTGTAAGGGATTTTTTTAGTGGTCAGGTTTTGAAGTTTACTTTTGATTAATGGATAATCATATAGACCTTCTTTTAGAATATTAAACAAACCTGTCTTAATTATCTGGCCTGTGTCATACCAAGTGGTTAATGATGCGAGGAAAGCATTTAAAATGGACGGTTACATATAACATTGGCC